GCACTAGAAGCAGATAGTCTGACAGGAGCTGCCTTCAAAGTCAGGAAAAAAAAAAATTACACAATATTGAGTCAGCTGAAGGAACACCTGTTTCTTTCTGCACTGTCACTTGTGAGCCACTATGTTAAGCTTTCTAAAAAACAAACAAAAAAAAAAAACAACCCCACACATCTATGCCTTGTTCAAGTAACTGCAATCTCTTGAGAGCAACTCTCTATTCAAGAATTTATTTATGAAAAGAGAAAAAAACATTGCTAGAACTGGCAGATGAAGAATAGTGGAAACTCTCAGGAAAGCAAAAAAGGAATTGAGAATAAGGAACTTTTAGGGGAGCTGCCAGAAAGCCATTACAAAAAGGAACGGTGGCCTTTTGGTTTCTCTTCAGAAGTTGCAAACGGCGTAAGACCACCACACACCACTAGCCACAGTGAGTGAAGTCTCGCCAGTAAGCACAGAGGCAGGCAAAGGGTGGGATACACCATATGCTGCTTAGCCTGTGCTGTCTGAGCTTCCACCAGACAGTGTCAAACGTGCAGTGCTCAGAAACTCAGGAGGATTCATAATCTGCAAGACAGGGATAGGTGGGGCTGAGAACATTTGCTAAGGATTTAAAGGTCAGAAACTGCTCCCCAAATCGGAAAAATTCCCAACAAAAAGAACACAAAGGCACTGCCCTGCCAGCAGCAGTGTTCTCTTGAAAGCCTAAGTACTTAATCTAATACAAAAGTCTTGTTGCAGAGGTAAAAGCATGTTTTAAAATAATAGGATGAGAGCCCACTACTAAAATTATACACAGTTGCCATGCAAAACTGCGTAACACAGACCCCACAGGGAGCAGCGATACAACATCCTTCTGGGATCTGCCTACGGATATTCCTCTAGTCCCTAGACTGACCTTCACAAAAGGGATTCAAGCAGATGGAAGAGATGAAATTCCTCCAACAGCTGGAAATACAACAGGAATGGATTTTGACTGCCTGATAATTCAGCCAGATGAAACATAACATGAAAATACTAAATAACCAGAAGACTATAGCATCATTTGATCATTGCTGAATCCTCACTTGCATATCAAGAGTGTGTTTCCTTCTGAAACTTGAAATGAAACATACCACATTTAACATCAGTCCCCTGAGCCATGCAAACCTTCCCATTTCACAAAGCCACAACTTCAGTTTAGACAGAAGTATTTAGAAAGGTTATTCTGAAATCAAGAATAAACCTTAGTTTCCTGAGCATTCCAGTTTATCAAACATTCTCGCTCATATCCACTCTCTTTTTGGCCACACATCCAGATTTTTGCTGTTTTCCTCCAAACCACTGGGAAGATATTAGTGTTTTAATCCTGGGAACTCTGATCAAATATAAATTGTAACTTCCATTTCCCCAACATGTTTCATTTCTGTATGTGTGGATAAACACCCCCTCACCAAAAGCTATTTATTCAAAGCCAGGGAAGGTGTGCAAGTTCCCACTGCAGTACTATGTATGAGGTACAGCCTCCTACTGAGAAGAAGTCGCACACCATCACTCATTCATCCTTTGAGAAGGAATAACTTTTCATATTAGATGTGCATTTGATAACAATCTTTCAGTCCGCAGAGCATGAGTGCGTCCCATGATAAACCTTAAATACAGGAAGTTACAGCAGCATAGGGAAACAAGCAAGCTCAAACAGCGCTCCACCCACCCGCCATTCCACCTCCACAGCATAGGTGGTGTGGCTGGAGCACAGGGAGGGGAAAGGGAAACATGGACAGAGTACAGAACACCCCAGTGCACAGCAAATAACACCTTCAGAATGTTTTAAATAGCTATAAACTCTGCCAAAACAACCATGAAAAGCAGACCAGGCATGTTCACAACTACATGAGGTTTGCTACAGTGCACCTAAAGATGGGATCCCAATCCAAGATTCAGCTACCACCACAGCACATTTTGCAGTCTAAAGCTCCAGACAGTCCCCCAGGAGGCAAAGGGCACTTCTGTCCATGGCCTTGAGCTGAGGGGATAAATCACACAGCTATTAACTGCAAATGCCCAGAAAATTGCTTTCTAATCAGGGTAATTAATTTCAAAATCTAAAACACTAAAAGAGAAAGCCCCTGTAATTTTTTGATACAAGCCAGCATGTCCCTCACCAAGATCTCTTAAATATCTTTCCTTGAACTAATTATAGGATTTGTTTCTCAATAATCCCTCATTTTGCTTACAGGTTGCTTTCAGAGAAGACCAGAAGCAATCACCCAATTTCAGTACAGACTGTTGCATCATAAGAACTTTCGCTAAGAAACCAGACCATAATTTCCATTTATGAGATCACCCATTAGCTTGCAATTAGCTTTTGCCTAAAGGTAAAAGGACTGTGCGGTTACAGGCAACATTTCTCTCCTTGGCTGCTTTCAGGATTTCCCAGAGTCAGGGAGAAATATTCCCCTATCCTCCTAGGAGCACCAGTAACAAGTCAGCTCTCATACATCTGTTCTCAGAAGCCAAAGGCATGGCACAGGTAAGGATGGAACAACACTTGGAAAAATTACATCAGTTACTAAGATACAAAGCTTTGCCAGGTGTTAAACAAGCACTTTCCTTCTTGGCAGTGGCCCTTATTCATCTGCTAAGTGATTTTGGCTAATCCTCTCAGAATTACTGGCATTTTCTGCAACTTGTGTCTGTTCCAGCTTGTATCACTGTTCAGTCAGTACCAGGCTACATTACCTATGTTATTCAGCCAGTGCTGGAGGTTGGCAAATGAAGCAGAAGAGTTGCCAAGCCTATCAATCACTTCAGCATAACATCCAGATTGCCACATCCACTTGGTTCACAACTTAAATCAACGCCACACTTTGTGGCCACCACACAGAAGTACTTCTTCGTGTCAAAAGGTTCCAGCTCAGCATCTCCCTCCATGCCTCAGCTAGCACCCTACTTCAACCCATCATCCCATTAACAACATCTCACAATCCTTCTCTAGATAATCAGTTCCCAGGTCTTTTCTGTCCTAAATCCCAGACTTTTGCAGGGGGGCTGGAACTAGATGATCTTAAGGTCCTTTCCAACCCTAACTATTCTAGGATTCTATGAAAGTATACAGGGGTACTGTGGTTACAAGCCATTGCTGAACTGATCACTGAAACCAGCTGGGTTTTCTAGTACTATTACATGGCTGCTCTGCCACCAGAACTGCTGCCCTGATCATCCTCCAGCTGCACCATTCCTGATGATCAAATAGCTGTCCACAGAATTCAGAGCAAGGTTTATGGCAAGAACAAAAAAAAAAACAAAACAAACAAAAAAAGCCACAAAACCACAAACACACCAAGGAAACACCTGCACACAACACAGGCCCCCGGCTCATGCAAAGAACCTCTACCCACAGGATTTTCCCCTCCTGCCACCCCAGCTGTCCTAACCAGGAGAGCGGTTCACAGGGGAATATCTTTAATATACCATAGCAAGACTATTTCCAGGGTTAACATAGCATTTGCAAAAAATACTACTTTTTTAACTCACTTTAAAGGGAGAATTTTAGTGCTCTAAGAGCACAAAGCCTTCAAGAGTAGTATTTAGGCCCTCTCATCCCCGCCCCTTGTGCACTGGAAAAAAATAACTTGAGTCAATTTACTTTGGGACACAAAGTCCTGCTATTCTACAGGCACTGGGAACATTTGGTTACTTGCCTACTTGATTAACTTGCATCGCAGGCTGAGCTAACTTGCTTAGAAAATAAGCTCATGCATGACAAAAGCTGAATGACAGAGACATTGCCAAGAAGTTCAGAGTTTTGGCATTTTATCAGGGAGTTTAATTACATCACAAGCCTTCATTATTTCAGGTAGGTTAGTGTGTTAAAGAGTTATTAGTATTTCAGTTCTTCAGGAAGCGATTCTTCATAGCAAAGCCTTATTCAGTTAATTGGTTAAATCTCTGAAAAGCAAGTCTTAAATAATTCCTTTGTCAGATTATAATGGCCAGTAGGCAGATCAATTTTTACATTTGAAAAAGTTCAAAGAAAAAATTTGTTAGCTTCCTAAACTTACATTTTATTTAAACCAGAACCTAAAAAAAAAAAGGAAAAAAAGTGATATCAAATAGATATTTTAAATGCTGATCCATGTGGTGACTGAAACATTTTACTCCATCTGAATTGCACAGATGGGAACAGATCTCCAATTTAGTGTACCAAGAACAATCCTTCCAGAGGCTCAGTGTAAACATTTCTGTTCAAGCAGAATCCTCTCAATCCAGAGGAAAAAAAAAGTTATTTCAACTAAACAGCACTGGAGTAAGCTAAATGAAAGGTCACATGCCCCAGCTAGACAAATCTGAAACACTGCTGCAGCTAGATACTGCTTCCTAAAACAAGACCTACCTTGCTCCTTTTTTATGCACAAGCTTAAACTTCAGTAGCAAAATAACAAAAGCACGTGGCTGACAAGAGAGCTCAACATTCACATGCAATTCAGATGCAGTTTGGCATTTCAGATCTGATTCCATTGCACCAGCAGCAGTAGGCAGGAGAACAGCACCAGCGCCTTCCCCAGGCAGAGCTACCGCAGCAGAAAATGGGACTTTGCCAAGATTAAACAGCCTCCTCAAAGAAGCAGTTCTACTTTTAAGTAGCATTTTCCCTATAGGCTTATTAGCCATTAGTCTGCATTTTGCTAGTAGATGTGCAGCTTGGATGGTATTTGATAGTCTGAGGAATGGCATCCACACCTCCTGACAAATACAATACCCATTAGGTTTCAGCACCTTCATTGATCTCAGCTGCCTCTGGAGAAGAATCCCTTCACTATGCTGAAAGCTCAGGGCTAGTCAGTACACAGCTTCTGACACACATCCATCCTACACATGAAAATAAATATGCTCTGAATACATTCTTACAATACACAGTATATACACCCTGCTGTATATACTCAATATTATATACACTGTGTATAACATTACTTGTATTATACACACAGAGTGAAAGAAAACAGACTGAATCACAGCAAAGTACTAGTAAATACCCTGTTCCCTTCTGGAGAAATGCCTGTGGCAACAAAAATTAAGAGCCTTTCACTCTTTTGCAGAGACAGAAGAGCAACTGGAGCACCTGGTGAAGCTTATGACAAGAAGGGTTTCCTAAGGGCTGGGAAGGCATGAAAATGAAATGGTAAGCTGTGCTTTTCTTGTCCCGCAAAGCAGCTGAAGTTTGGAGGCAGAGGAAATTTCATTTAATTACAATAGAAAATAATCTTGAAAGCAAACTATGACTACGTATACACAATTAGTTTTGTCCACATGAGAACACAAGCAGGAAGTATGGGCGTTTGTGACTGAAGCACCATCTCATTACGACCATTGAGAAACCTCAGATCTACAGCCAAGAGATACAATCCACACCAAGACTAGATAACAAAATAAGACAGGGTTTCTAACCCATCCCAGTTTCATATCCAAGTTCCCTTCACAGATGAGGGAGCTGTGAAGCAGGACATAAATTATGCCAGAGAAAAGGTCTTTGGTTTCTGCTTTGGCATTCTAACAAAGCGTTTGGAATTTCTCCCTCTCTCACTTCATTAGGGAGACTGCTCTGTGGACGGTTGCCTGCTTACTGTTTGCATCTCTACCAAGAGGTAAATATACTATAACAACACATCTAGAAGGTGTTTATATGTGAATACACAAACTGAGAATGTTGAACAAATGCATGCTTTGTTTTGAACATATTTCATCACAGTCCAAGGTTTGCTTACAGGTAATAACCGTCAGATAAACCTCTACCTGAAAGAGGTGGTTTCAAGGTTAAGGTGTTCCAGGTCCACAAATCTTAACCTATGAAGTTTATCCTGCCCACATTTTTAAAAATACCCTAGCATTTCCACAATGTTAAGAAAGACTTGGAATCTCATCATTTATAATGATACAAGGCAGTTAGCTGTTAAAGTACTGGGTTTGCTATAGGCATAACCAGGTAAGTGAAAGGACCGGATCCCAGCAGCAACCTCTCTGCCTGAATCTTTGCACATGCTCCACGAAGTTCTAGCTGCACTGGGTTTCTGACATTATGTAGAAAAAGGTACACTAGTATGTACAGATGAGGGAGTTTCTACAAGCCTCAGAGCAACTCCCTGTAATTTCCTTATCTCAGGCTTACATTCAGCAATATTAAGTCTTCTGTGTGTGGTTAAAACACTCATTGCTCATAAACATCTCAGGTTTACCAAGCGCTGCAGTGGTTCAGGAGGTTACACTTCCTCTGGAACTAGTCTCTCTCTCTCTCTTCCGGGAGCACAACTGACATTTTTAGGGAAAAAATTCATGTGTCTCCACAAATCAGTGTGACAAGTCTATTGCCACTCAAGACATGCCCTTTTGGTAGCTAAGTGCAACTGCAAGCATTTAAGTGACTACCCTTTGACTCCTTTTCTCCCTCTCCCTAAAATAGGGGAGCTCAAGTTCAGTGTTTCTGAGCAAGTAACTGGGATTGCAAACAGCCCCCTACCCTCCCTAAAATACTTTTGCATGTGGGTGAGACATAAGGTGGCGAGAAGCCACAGAACACTACCTTGTCAGGTAAATATATTCCAGTTTAAACTCCTAAGTACTCAGAGATACAAGAAATTACCTGTTACCTTGTTTCTAACATCAGAACATTTTCCTGCTTAACCCATTACTTCCACTACTAAATTACTTTACTAATGTCAGAACTGCACTGGAATCACCAGAGTGATCTACAGACACATACCCAAGAGCTTTCCACTTCCAGGCCTTTTTCCACAAGGCATAAACCCTAGATCACCTACTGGCATCCCAGATTCCTCTGGTACAAGCAACATATAATTAATAAATAAACATGATTGCCCTAGATCATCTTGGGGGGAAAGGAGGGAAAAACAAAAAAGCCCAGTCATTCCCAGTCATTACAAGTTCCCTTGCACCACACTTTAGACACCAAACAGCAGTATTTCCTTGTTATAGGAATCTTACAGGCTGATTAAGTTGGCACACTCAACTTCACCTTGAGAGCCTTAAACATTTGGACAATATTTAAAGTGCATAATAAAAAAAATAAAACCAGAAAATAAATTCATCTCACATTTCATTTTTACAACCACAATAAAAGCCATGGGCCAACACACATTTTTTCCAAGGTAAAACACTGCACCTTCCACATGCAAAGCTTACCAGGTAGATCAGATGAGCACTACTCATCCTGCTTCATACACCCCAGCAGCAACTGCCACCATCCTTGCTGTATAACTGCTTCTGCCGCCTGGCCAAGCAACTCTCTGCTACCATACCTCCCTGACACATCAATAGCCTCAGCAAGAAGCTTAACACAACATCAGCAACCTTCAGCGTTACTTCATACTTCTACCCAGAACTGGCTTCCATAAGGACATTTACTTGACTTGTACCCAGAAGTCTGTTCTTCCCATCAACAAAAAACCTCATTCAGCTGTAGGCTCTGTTAAATAACTCATTACAGCCAGATTCCAGTCACCTGTTCTTGCCCCAGGCAACTTCAGCTGTGCTCCCTTTTGTGCCTCCTGATGCCCTGGTTTTACCAGCTGAAGGCAGTGTAGGTTTAACCTCAGGGGTATTAATAGTCATCATAAGTGTTACAACATTTGTACACAGTATCATACAGGAAGGGAAGGGTTATGTTGGGCACCACTCTTCTCCATCTTTGCAAAAAGAATAAAGAGTCAAAAAGCAAATAGATACACTTCTAAACGCAGTATTAAATTTAGAAATTACTGTGATCAGGAGATAGGATAAACTCTCTCTTTTGGTCATTAGGCAAATGCTTATTGTCCATTTTTCTAAATAAAGCCACAAGTTTTGTGGATTTCAGGATGATCTTTTCTTCACCCACATGCAACTCCACACAGTGCAAGCACTTTCTCTCCTGAGGGCATCCTGTGAACAGGACTCTTCCCACTAGAAAGCTCTTTGGGAGGATCACTTCTTCCAGAGCTTTCAAAACACTTGCAGCAGCCTCAGGCTCCCTCACCTCCCTGCTGTGGCTAGCTAACCATGGCCAGCCATAACTGCAATCTGCTTTCAGACATGGCATTGTTTCAGAAGGACTCTGCTGAGCTCAGCCTTCCTCAGCTCCCCAGGCCCAAACAGCTCAGGGATGGCTCTTGGGCTGCTCCCTGCTCTCCTTCAGGTGGTGGTGGTGGCCCTTTTAGGTGTGCCAGTTACAGCTAACAGCCTGGGTATGCTACTAATTGGAGGGCTGAAGAGTCTCCTTGGGGAGCACAGTCATACGTGCTGTGGCAGTGAGGGTACAGTACAGTGGAGGCCAAGCTTTACTATAAATAAAATAAGACCCCTGTTTGGATATTGTTGTAATTCAGGCTCCTCTTGAGAAGCAAAACCTGGTCAGCAACTGATACAGTCTGAAAACAGTTGAGCTCTCTACACAGTAAGAGAAATCTTCTACCAACCACCAGAAATACTTGGTTCTCTGATTCTGATGGACAATTGGTTTACTATTTTCAATACATCACCATGGGGATGTGATTTTTCAGCTGAAAGTTTATATTGTTAGGCAAAAGCAGATGGTGATTTTCAGCTGAAAAATCTGAAAACCAAAGGAAAGCAGATGTTTGGTGATATAATTGAAGACATTTGGGTCCACAATTTAGCTTTCTGAATTATACTTTTCCTTCTGCTTTTATGTCTGTCTGGATGGACACAATGTGACACCAGACAAGCCTCAAAACAGACACTGATTAATATAGAAACAGAGATCCTGGTATGTAACAAGCTGAGCCCTGGCTGGTGTCAGTGGCTGCAAAAGGGAACTGAGACTCTCTTTGATCTTTAGCCCAACATATGCACAGGCCTGGAACACAGGAATTACTATGCTGTGACTGAGAACATTTGTTTTTCTCACCCAAGTGTAAGGTACTGCACCTGGGGAGGAAGAACCCCAAGTACCAGTATAGGTTGGAGGCTGACCTAATGGTCAGCTCAGGTGAGAAGGGCCTGGCAGTATTGGTGGGTGACAAGTTGACTATGAGCCGGCAGTGTGCCCCTGCAGCCAGGAGGGACAATAGTATCCTTGGGTGCATCGGTAGGAGTGTTGCCAGCAGGGCGAGGGAGGTGATCCTCTCCCTTTACGTGACCCTGGTGAGGCCACATCTGGAGAGCTGTGTTCAGTGCTGGGCTCCTCAGTCCTACTGCTGGAGCTACTGGAGAGGGAGGGTCCAGCGGAGGCCACAAGGATGATCAGGGGTCTGGAGCATCTCTCTTGGGAGGAGAGACTGTGGGAGCCTGGCCTGTTTAGTCTAGAGAAGAACAGACTAAGAGGAGAATCTCGTTAGTGCATATAAATATCCCAAAGGTGGGTGCCACGAGAATGGTGCCAGACTCATTTCAGTGGTGCCCAGCAACAAGATGTGAAATATGAGCTCGCTCTTCTAAACAAGATAACAAGGTTTTATTGAGGGACAAAGTCAATAAAGCAAAAGCAACAGCACTGGGTGCATGACTGTAGCCGGAGGTGCAAGTGATTAGTATTGGTACAGGTTTATATACTTTCACTATTGCAGTAGTCACATACATGTTCATAGTTCCTGTGTATAGGCGGGGAATATTATAACTAGCTCCAGGAACTTATTATCATAAGTCTCCTCTTCTTGGCGTCTGTGCACTGCTCTCCGGTCATTGTGGGCAGGGGTCTTGAGGATTTAAAAGATTTAAAACAGTGTGACCTTCCTGCAATATTTATTGCAGGATGGGCAGACAAGGAGTATCTCAAGCTAGCAGATGTTTGGGAGGCTCTGTCTCTAAACTAACTGACAAGTAGAAGGATGGTGTGAAATAACTCATTCATATTTAGTGGGGCAACTAAATCCTGTTATCTCACCACAGACTTATAACACAAACATTGTTCTTTAAAGCTAAAGATACTTTAGAAGAATAGTGTGAAACAATTAGCTCATGTTTAGTGGGGCCACTAAATTCCACAGACTTACAACGTAAACATTGTTCTCTTTCTACAGCCTAAGTTAAGTTAAAAAGTACTTTATGTTTTCCAGGCACTAGCTTTTCTGGTATCAAGTCCCCCCCTTCTTTCTTTTACCTTTACAACTTCTTCTGCTATGTGACTCCATTTTGCTCAAGAGTTCCGGCCCTTCTTTAACTTGTCTAATCCTGTGTCTTTAACGAGCTTTGTTTCCATTATTGTAAACTCATACAGTTATATACACATAACCACACCTATGATTTGCAAAAGCCAATGCGTTTATGTGTTTATCACAAAGACAAGGAGCAATGGCCATAAACTAAAACACAAGAAGTTTCACCTCAACACGAGGAAGAGCTTCTTTATGTTGAGGGTGGCAGAGCACTGGGACAGGTGCCCACAGCAGTCATGGAGTCTCCCTCTCTGGAGACATTCAGGGCCCGCCTGGACACGTTCCTGTGTCACGTGCTGTAGGTGGCCCTGCATTGGCAGGAGTTGGACCAGATGATCTCCAGAGGTCCCTTTCAACCTTAATGATTTTGTGATACTGTAGTCTGATTACTTACCCCTTATGCTTCACAGAACTTTGGCCATGAAAAGGGATTGAGTTGTTTCAAAGTGAATTTTAGTTTTGCTCCTTGGCACAGTCACAGACTCGTGCTGCTTTTGTTCTGCTCCCTGCTGCGAATGAGTTTTCTATCCAAATTAATACATCTGCATTTTAATTTATAAAATATTTTTATGAAACAGGTTTGGTTAAAGTGTTAATTTAAGCCCACATTCTGTGCTGAAAACACCTATTTGTCTATGCTTTATAAACGCACAGAACCCTCCTTCTTCCATAATGCAGTCTTCCCCCAGAAAATATAACACCACAACCTAGTAAAAGTTGTCCTACATGACAGTGTCAGATTCCCCCATTTGTAGTTCTAGTATACTTTCAACTAACTTGGAATAATTTATAAAAATAATTAGTACCAGAGTTATTAAATGAACAGTGTGTATAAGTGAGATGCATTTGTCTTCCTGCCCTGCCTGCCTACCTTTGTTCACCAGCAGGCTACCCGAACCCTGGTTCTTGCTTCTGCTGGAACTGGTTGGTAAGATCTGTCCAGGCCACCCACCACCCGTACAAAGTATCTGTCTCCCTTGGAAAAGTCATTTACCTTCTTTCTGGCATACTGGGACAATAGCTATACCAAAGAGTATGAGAGGGCAGGCTTAGCAAGAGTGCAGCAAGCCAGAGCTGCAGATAAAAGCCCTGTTCTGCCAGACCCTCTGCAAGGTGTCACAGGGGAAGGAGGCAGGAGCCTCTAGTGCATTACTGACAAATTGGAAGCCATGATCTGACAGGCAAGCAACAGGAGTTGGGGGAGACCAGATTCATCCAGGATCTTTCTCGTGCTGATGTAACACCCTTTTCATGCTTCTTTTTTCAGACTTCCCTCCTACAAAAGCAATACTTGCTTATTTATGTGTGTGCATCTTCACTTTTCTGCATCCCCTTTTCCTCTTGTGAACTGACTGGTTAATTAGAATCAAATCAGACACCTGATCTCAAAACTAATCTCCTCAGAAACTGGGAGAAAAATCATCAGCTAAAGAGACAAGTTCAAGCAGCACCCACATGGATGAAGTGAAAGCAACTGCATGCAGCAACATCTGTCCTGCTGCAGAGCTCGCTGAGCATTGAGCATGCATGGCCCTCAATCCTGGCATGGCACTTACTGCCCTCTGCCTGGCTGGGAGCAGGAGGACACACATAGAAGAGGGAGGAAGAGAGGCAATAATGGTGTGATGAAGCCAAATTCTAGAAAACCTGGTGTCCCTAGCTCTGCTGCACACTGAGAAAGTTGTATGGTTTTTATTCCAGGTCGACCAGACACAACATGCCATGCATTTGTTGGAGAAACTGTTGTTTTGCCTTGCATCACCACTTCTCCTGGAAAGCTGACCCTCTCCAATTCAATGCTGTTCTGGCAGATAGAGGCTGACGATCCTCAGCACACCATTGTAGTGCACTTTGTTCTCAATGGGCAGGATTTGCCGCAGTTCCAGAATGACAATTACCATGGCAGAACTAGCCTTTTTTTTGACCAGATGAAGCATGGCAACTTTTCCTTAAAGCTCTCCAATGTTAAATTACTGGACACAGCTGTATATAGTTGCATCTACAAACAGACGGGGGATCATGCCGACAAAACACAGAAATCTAATGTTAAACTCATTGTATCAGGTAAGATTTTTCTTATAGTTCCGTGGGAGGGGCTCGGGGGCAGCATTTCTTGTTGACAATCTCTGTATGGCCGTTAGGTGGGATGACTTCAATTTTTAAAGCAGATCTTCACTGTTTCATTCTGTTCCTTGCTTTTGTTGGAAGAATAACTGGGAAGAAAATAAATGCATCTTTGTTAAGCTTCAGCACAGCATATTGATGGAAGCAGCAGGACTCCTGAAGGCAAGCCACCTGCCTCTTCCTCCTCCCTTCACAGGAGACATTAATGAATAATGAGGTCTCCCCAACTTCTAAGCATTTGGTTATTTATGGCTCTGTACTGTCATGGATCCATCTTGTCCCAGAGGAACAGGAGATTATTTCATTGTTTGCACTTGGGTCTGTGAAGCCATATTAGTTTTGTCTCTGGTAATGAAATCCGAAGTCCAGCCCATACACCCTTTCTGACATCAGACAGACAGTTGCTGTTCACCTTTTCCCTTGTGCCTGGAAGATCTGGATCTGGTGGCAACACTGGACACATGCAACAAGAGTCATTTTTCTTCCTTAGGAAAATGAGTGAGACTGTAACACATGCTCAGATAGTGCCAAACAACAGAGCTAAGATGGTTGAACTACCCACAAGCATGGCCAGCAGAATGATGGGGCTTTAGGTTTGACCAGTTGACAGATTGAAAAAGCAAATTTTAAAAAGGGGATGCACATCAAACTAATCATAGTTTTTTAAGGTGTCTTGGTTGTACAAATCAGCAGAAAACTTCAATTTTGGTCAACTACAAACATTTAATTCCACTTAAAATAGAAAAAGATATTTCAAGTAACAGAAACCCTTCAGTATCTTTGTTTTAATGCACGTCGTTCTCAAGAGAAAAATGTTTCTAAAATGTGAAGTAAAATACTTTTGTTCAGAAAATTTCAAAGTGAAACATTTTGCAGTTTTCAAAATGAAAAAAGTGTTTTGAAAATGGAGAATCAAAATCTTTTTTATCGTCTGATTTTTGGCAACAGTACGGTGTCTTTTACTCTGATTTAATTATGTGATCATATTTAAACATTCAGTAAGTTTGACAAATATATTCTTTCTCAGAAAAAAAAATTACTAACCCTTAGATCAATTATCAGCCCCCTTTTCCTGTTCCAGCCTCAAAACACATAACTTTGATTTTTGTGGGTTTTTTTCCAGCTCCTTCTATCACTGAGGAGGCTCCTTCCCCCTCTGGTAAGGCAATACTCCTTAACCTGCTAACTGTCTTAAATGATTATCCAGTGCTTTAATTTGAATTTGTCACATTGGTAAAATGTGCTGAAAATAGAGAAAGTCTGATTGACTTCTGATGCTTGCTCTCTCTTACTAAGCCTAGCAAAATACAGCTGTCTCAGGCAAAAGAATTTCCACTACTAAGACAGACCTAGACTGCAGAAAGAAGAATACTGAAGCGCCATCAGTCACCAGTCTATAAAGCTACTCACCATTATAGGCATCATAAAAATCAGTAAAAAAACAACATGGAAGCCATTCAGTTCTATGAATTAAGGCCTTTGTAAATTACTTCGGTATGAATAAACTACTAGATCAAGAGATTGGGGGGGGGGTATCCTTTGGGGTAAATAAGATAATAAATATTCTAAAAATAAATGATTTATGACTCCACACAAGCTCTTCTGGGAAAATAAAAGTAGATCTCACCAAAGGCAATTCTGAGGTATAGTGCAAATGACACCGTCTCAGTTTAATCATTACAGAGATTTAAGTACATTAGGTCATTTGTAACACTTCCTGAGGGAATGCAGTGCAGAAGGTCTGTCCAGCTCTGACATGCCATTGTCAGTAAATTCTCCCATAAAAATCTTGCTTGTAAGCAATTTTTTCCTGTTAGCTCTACAAAACTTTAAATTGGTATCAAACCTGCAAAATTTTGCTCATAAAAATCAATAGCTGTAATTTGTGTTTACTCAATGTAGCTGAAAGAGATAATCCACTCCATAACAATAATTATATTACAGTTAATGTAATAAGTTCAGCCACAATATGACATTACAGCCAGATTAAAAGGCAATAAATACAAATAAAAACCAAGGAAGAGAAATGTTCCAGTGTTTTATTACACAGAAAAAAAAAAACATCTCTGTACATGATGAGCAATAAACAACTTGAAAAATCACAGGGAATATCCTTTTTAGACTTGCAGTAGCTCCCCTAGCTGGCTTAAAGGTCTTTAAAAACCACAAAGTTAAATTTAAGCTGATATAATGTGCCTTCAGTGGCACAGCACCATATTACAACATTACAAAAGCAAATAGAACAGGAGCTAGAATATCTCTAGCTGTTACCTTCCACAAGAAATAAATTATTTATAGTTAATGCAGTAGCAGTGGAAACTTCTCAAAATGAAGAGAAGTAGGTTGTATTTAAAGGAGATAGTTGTATATATGTTTGACTCAGCCAAAAACTTTCTGACAACTTTTCCACAATAGAAACTATTTCTTATCATGAAAAGGTATTTTCACAAAAAAAAAAAAAAAAAAAAAGTGTTTGGGATAAGGGAGTGTTTCACCTTTGCTACAGGAGAACAAACTGAACCACATTCATAAGACACCTGAAGTTTCCTGTACTGCTGGATTTTGAGGGGCTTGGGGATGGAGGAAAGAATAAAAGCCTAACTTTTGAAATGCAACTTTTTGCAAAAAGGAAAAAATGTTTCCTGTTGACAACTTCTTTTAAAGAAAATCATTAGCCACAGCTCCCTTTTTTTTTTACTTTCAGCAATTTCTTAAGAAAGGAAGAGAATCTGTTTTGTATTAGTTGTTATTTTGGAAGGGACTTAGAAAAGCTAAATGACTTGCTGAGAACAAAGGCACTGTATGCAGAAATAACTCTTACACTTTGCAGTCATCGTAACCAGATCAGGAGGTATTTATTATTTTTACATAAAACAGAAACAGGTTTGATCTGTTTCACTTCTGCTTCATTTATGTTTATTTGCTGAATTGTTTTTCCTAATTATTTTTAAAAGCTTAATTTTACTGTCACTCTTAGTTTCTTGTGAGACTCTTTCTGGATCAATCAAAACTTGTTTTAATGGAAGGGCCTGAGCCTGGAGAAGGTCACAAGAAGCCAAGAGACTTGCTGTAATCCTACATTTGTTTCAAAGCATTACTGAAGACTACCCAATGTTTACTTGCTCTTTACACGTTAATACAGCATACTCCTTCTAGGAAGAGGGGAAGGAAGCACCCCTACTAGCCATAAATTAACTGCAGGAACATACTGAAAGCTGATACCACAGCAATAGGAACAGCCTAAGAATTGGTGTAGAAAACAATATGCAGCCTGATCTTCCCAGAGCACTTGGACCTAAACTCTTAGAGGAGAAATTTTTCCACTGCTTAAGTTGGGGGTTCAAAATCTTTCTTTACCTGTGTACCACATTCAGCACAGGTTGCAAGTACCATCTGTGCCAAAGCCAGTCTGCGCCCTGTGTCCACATTGTGGCTTACATACTAATAGTGGTACACAGTGCTGGTATCACCTAAGCATCTGTGGCCTAGACTTTTTACTACTTATTACCATTATTTATAGACTCTTAATCACAACACCTATCTCAGGCCCTGAGTAGGTAGAATGACAATGTATTTTATACTCTTTAGCTGTTGTTCTGTCAGGATTTTAAACAAGTGTTCTTGGTCATCCAGAAAAGGAAGTTGTGTTCAATGTTGCTGAGTGTCTTCGCCTTTTTTCTGGATGGCATACATTTGAAGACTTGAAAAGGAGAATTCTGAAAGAGCCAAAATCCATATGGTTTTACAACAATCTTCCATCAATGCATTAATGCGAACTATATCTTCAAATATATTTCTTGTCAAATCACCAGTTATATGTGGACTTTCTCTTTTTTAATTTTTCAGGACGCAGGCAGATTTCCTCCAGAAGCCCCAATGATGCACCATGTCTGGCAATGCTTCCCCTCTCTTTCTACCTCCTGGTCTCACTGGGAGTTTGGCACTTGTAACTGGGGAAGCCAACCTTCTCTTTGGGAAGTTCTCTTCACCAGAGGACCTCATTGGGCAGAACAGCTGTGTAGACAGAACGGTGTGACAACTGTTCCAGAGCCACGTGAAAGAAACACCTTAGCTGAAAACAGACCTAGCACTAGGTGTTTATATCCTGAATTTTGAAGTTCCACAAAATCAAAGGCAGCAAGACTCTTGAGGTGGCAAGTCTGGTTTTCATTTGTTTCTTGGAGCCCGGTTTTAGTACTGGCAGTATGAACATATGGATTTTGTGGTTTTGCTTTAATGACAGCATAAAAGACTCATAAAACTACAAAGTCACATCATAATTGACCCTAGTGAGATCTTTTGCCTAAGATCTTATCTGTTGTCCTTCAAGAGAATTGTAGGGAGGAGAAAGGTAATCACCCTCTGTGTCAGATAAAAACTGGAAGTAGGAAGCTGCTCTTGTTTTCTGACATGTAAGGACACAAAGCTTGTGCAACTTGAGCATGTGAAACTTTAGCTTCTATTTTTACTCCTAAGCATCATGGGCTATCAGTAACAACTTTTTCTTCCACAAGAAATGTAGTATTTCTTTAGCGGAAGGGTGAAGCTGGCTGAGAATGATGATGGAAATTCATAAAACATCAACATAGAGGAAGCGATATGTTATTACAAAATCCACTTCTAAATAAGCCAAAAGCAAAAAAGATTTAATTCAGTATTTCCTCTTTCTGTCATGAAACACAGCAAGGTAAATGTGATTATTGTGCAAAAGATGGATTCTTAAGGTAGAACTGTGCCAAAAGAAATTGGTACTGCGATAATGTTATATCTTTAAAAGCAGCACCTTTGAAGGAAAACTGGTCAGAATAATTGTAACTGATACCTATGCAAATTAAATGGATTTACTTCTGGAAATGTTTGATTCAGGTAGCACAGATGTCCTGTGTAAACCTAAGATTGAAAGGATCCTGAATACCAGCAGTATCAAGAAAGTCCAGAAGTTCTGTTTCAGGCCACAGTTGCTGCACCCACCCTATTGCAGAACTGAGAAGCATCCAGAGAACTATTCACCCAGGCTGGTGAACAGGGGTGACTGCAAGGCGCTCCTTCTGGCTGGGCCCTCAAGCCAGGGGAAGTGGCTGACTCATAAGGACGCACATAAAGTCGATTTGGAACAATTCTACCCTCTTTCCAACAGAAAGACAGGATTATTTTGTAAGAAAGGGAGCAGAATAGAGCTTTAAGTGGTATCCTTTGAGGTAAAGGAAATGGTTACCTCTGACTTTCTTAACAAAGTGCTCTTTCCTCACAGTGGGGAAGAGGGATGGAATCCCATGCACAGCCGGAGCTGCTGCTGCAGTGATGCTCAGCTGGCACTTAGGCTACTCTGCATACACGGAAGCTTAGTGTAACAGTCGGCGTCCCATTTCATATAAAGATTTTAATATATGAATTGTACATACTGTGATTGTCTTTTTGCATCCTACCTTCCAAATGTTTGTCTCAGATTCCATGTATTTTTCAAAACAAAAGTTGATTTAAAATTAAAGCTTAAACAAACAAAACCCTGAGGAGAGCAATCGCTTGGTCTGTAAGAGTTCTTAATTCGTATTCCAGTTGTTCCTACAGTTAGCTAGGCTCCCCATGCAATCAGAAAGTCCAAAAGGTGGTATCTGTACAGGCCTGTTAGTCCCAAAACTCTGAACTGCTTGCCTTCATCTCAAGGCCCATGAGTCCTAAAATCTAACAGCCATTTAAGCAGCCCTCCACTTTTCAAAAGGTGTTGAGGCACATGAACAACATGAGCACCTCCGCTCACAAGTACAAGCTGTGTGACTATAAAGCTGCATTTATTGGGCAAGGTAATGAATAATTAAATATCTTCATGCAGGCATGCAGCTCTAGGACACAGCCTCAGTACTGCAGAGAGGGAGCCATATGTTTACATACAGCTCAGTAATATGTTTTAAGAGCAGGCACTGTGCTGACTGGTGTTATGAGGAATGCCCAATTCCCTCAGTCATCTGCTTCTTTCACCCTTAGAAGTGATTCTCCTTGCCTGTTCAAACTGGCATGAATCACAATAAGCACATGAGCAGATGAAGATAGGAGGAATGAAGGGTGGGGGAAGAAAACTGAATGACCTCTAAATGCTGTTTACAACACTACTTTTTTACTACTCCGATTTGCAGCAGCACTTGGGATGCTTAAACACCTCTGTTTTTATATTTCCCCAAAGCTATAGTTAACTGCCATTCTGATTTCCTTGGGGACAGCAAGGAAAGGTTTGAATGACTAGTAGACCTTGATTTGTCCTTCCTTGCCTGGGTGACAAAACAAACGTCTGTTGTGTTCACCCCATGCACAGAACATGAGCAGCACATATTTCTTGTGTTTTCCAGAATTTCATCGTGAATGGGAGGGATAATTTTGAAAACTAAGGAGAGCAGTAACGATTCACACATTTAAAAAGGAGAGATCTCCACTTCTCTCACTTGTAGTATCTTGGTAGCCCACAACTACGTACTTCATATGTCAAGTGCATAGGCTGATAATCTGCTACATTAAAGAAATTAGTAAGAGATCCTTGTACATTATTCTTGCAAAAGAATGACTGTGAAAGCAAATTCATTTTTTTCATGTTTGACAGTAACACTGCTGAGACAAAAATGAATTTATCCTGTACTTTATCTATGCTTAAAGTGAGGCCATTTTAACTGGTTAATGCTTTCCACTGAGCTCCTTTCAGTTCCATATAACGTAGGAAAAACGGCCCAAAAAGGTCATCAGCAAGAAATGAATGTAATACCTTTGATGCAGAATTTTCACTGCTGTTTCAGCTAAGCCCGAGGGAAGTCATTCACAAAGCATGATGTTCAGCAGTTAAACAAAGGCTACTGAAACATGTTGAAAATAAGCATGGAAGGTGATTATTTTTGTGGCACAAAATCATGTTGCTATTTGTAATGCAATCCTCATTGCAATTTCTGTTTCAGCTCCTGGGATTGTCCAATTTTAGACCCTTCTCTTTCCCTCTCTATCTCTTTCTGCAGAGATGCTGACCAACGCTGAAATCAGCTTGGAAAAGATAGCCAGATAGCAGTTCCTTAAGTCTTCTTCTGAGGGTTAAGGTTGACCCACACAACAGGCAAGCTTCCTTCAGCTACTTCAAGCCATGGGAAGAAAAAATAAAACCAGCTCAAACAAAAGACTCAAGCCCTGGAATGCAGGCTACTCAGTTATTTGCAGATGGAGGATTATCTAAACTTCCACTCTGAAATATAAAAAAATATATATGTATTCACACACACATTAGATACTGCTATCTTGCAGACACATAGACCCTGCAAGAAACAGTGTGTTTCCTTACAGAAGTATTTCTTGGCCTGATAAAAGTCCCTCCCTGCAAACCTTGGGTTTAGGTCACCTTGGCTGTAATAGCATTATTATTTAAAACAAACAAACAAGCAAACACCCCCCCCCCAAAAAAAAAACAAACAAAACAACAAAAAAACCCAAAACCTGCACATCTTTCCCCAACCACATTGTGTAATTTTATTACTTTATACTACACTTTTCCTCATTTTTCAGTGATAATTATATCACAGGAAGGCTTTAGAGCTTAATGCAAGTATATTTGATAGTATATTTTCAGGGGGATAAATAAAAAGTCACTGTCTTAAAGAAGTCTTAACAAGACAGTGAGACAAATGCATTCATTGTGATGGAACTGGATTTCCTAGTGATTTTTTGTTGAAAGAGTAAGAAGCAGTATTTGTTTGATTTCCTCTACGCATCTACATGTTGACATCACAATGTTGCACAGAAAACAACAGCTGGAGTATTGTGCCTGAATACAGAAAACAGCTGGAATACTGTGCCTGGGTTAAGTGAAAACGTGCCCAGAGCATCGTTCATGGAAGTGTCCTATGCTCGCATCTTACCCAAACTCTATTGTAGCCACAAACTGAAGGGTGAGAATGAAAAGTGCATCTCAATCCTAACTCTCATTTCTGTTTGTAGAAGAAAAAAGTACCGCTGTCACCTTTGTGAACACTGCAACAACTGGCAGAGAAACATTTTGGAACATGATTTTTGTGCGTGCGCATTAAAGAGGGCAAAATGGGGAGGCAGAAACACAACTGACAGGTAACAATTTATCCGAGAAGTTAACCCTATCACAGCACTAGAAAAGCAACACAAGCAGGAGGGGCAATTCTTACCACTCCCTTTTAGTAGGACAAAGTTGTTACATGCTTTCTGAAGATAAAAACTGGCAGGATCCATAAACAAGATACTGCATGCCTCCTTGTGGAGGCTTGGGGAATACACATTCTTTCACTTCTTATTTCCGTAATAGTGTTTAACAAAACAAATTAATCATAAACTTCTATCCATGTGGCTGAAACTAGCAAACCCCTCAGCAGCTCCAAAGAGCCCTATGGAAGGAAAGGAAAAACCCAGCTTGGCAGACAAATGTCTCTATTAATTGCTAAGAGTACATGGAATTTCCCTCCAAATTTACAGTGGCTGGAAGCCAAGATGACAATCTTACATCTTCCATCAAAGCTAAACAATCTTCTGTTACTTAAAAAAATAAAATGCATGTATCAAAGGTCAGTACTCAGCACATTATTGTGAAATTAGAGAATAAAACAAAATGAAAAGCAATACCAGTGCATGATTCTTTCTCCCTTAAGAAACATTATCCCTGAATGATGGAAAAACAGGAGAGTAAAAAGATGCACTAAAATGTGATTATTTCAGAAAATAAACTTTATTTCCCCAGTGCACGTTTGTCCTGTCCCCACTAAACACCCAAGGTTCTGATACTGACAACAAACACCTTAGGGATAGCTTTCTTTTTGTATCTACCTTGAAAAGTGTTTCAGGCACTCTGGAGGAGCTGTTCTCCACCTACTCTAGGGATTTCAATACCATCTCAGTTCTGTGATGCTTTCTTATGTTACCAAATTTCTTTTAAAACTCCTGCAGATGTTGGAATGACACATTTTGAAGTGCCATTGTATTTTATATGAACAATGACCTCCCATACACTGCTAAGCCTCTGTGTATAAAACCGGTATCAAAAACATTCACTTACATAAAAGTAAAGCTTATGGAGGAAAGATTTGCACTGAATTACAGTGGCAATGTTTAAATTCTGTTTCTTACCAACTTGATAATAAAAATTCCATGAAAAATTTGATGCACAAGCAAAAGTTTCAGAATATGTCCAAAATCCACTTTACGAACCTGCTACCATGACTTGGTTTCTGCGTATTTCTGTGTGACTACGCTGGAGTTGCCAATCTGCACAAGAAATTTCTGTGAAATCTGCAAGAAAATGGTGTCATCTTTGAAGTACAAATTCAGAATGCTTTTGTTAGATTTTTTTAATCACACCAAGAGGCTCCAGCAGCAAAAACGCTGATTCTGAGAACACAGAGCAAGCAGAACATGCCCACCAGCCATACTCCAACCTTACTCTTCCTCTTCGCTCCCCCCAGTAAAAAACATTGTTCCATGTCCGTAGCAAGTCTTCAGCCACATACGGTATTCACCATACCCCAAACTAACCTAAGGCTTGTAGATCTCATTTATGTAGCATACAATTCTGTCTTAAAAATATGGGTTCGCTTTGGCATGTCTGTCATGCAAGAGGAACTTTAATACAAGGTAAGGGGTGTCATTTTCCTTCCTTGTTTTAATTTGAGAAATGTTACTTCCTGCTGAATCAAAAGGTGACAAGTATCTTGGAAAAGGGGAAACAGACTGCTGAATTCTGTATGGGAAAAGTGGCCCAAAGACCTGAAGAGACCCAAAAAGCAGAAAACCTGCTAGAATGTATCAACCAGTGTTATCAAAGACTGCTGTCAAACAAAAGTGAAGGGACAAGGATGAAATAAATGCAGAAGTTAATTTATTTATACATCATTATTCCATACATTCAGTAATGTTTCTTTGGAGAAAGCTTTATTACCCTAAGGCAGGGAAAGCGGGGATAACTTGAGACTGTTTTTTCCATCCACTACTAATCATACAACTACTTTTACACAGTTATTATCCTTAAAAATTGTGCGTCACATCAGCGGATATTTTCTCCCTCCTTTCAAGACTTTTTTAGTGACAATGGGCCAATGGATGAGTTTTTCAAAGTGCCAGTGTTGTGGCAGTTAAGATGTAGCCTGCTGCTGACTGATATTCAGAATGGCTCCTTTGTGGAAACAGGATTATTTGAAATGGAAAAATGAAACATTAATCTTTTAATTAATACCATGCTAAATTAAGATGTGGGAGATGTCTATTCATTTGACAGCTGATCCAGGCTTTATGCTCACAGATACAGCCCTGAGCTCACAGATCTTGAACCATGCACTAATTCCTCTCTACTCCTATTCTTCTTCCACCAGATACACTGACACTGTACTTGCTATAGCCCTATAACACATCTGCCCTTGGCTTCTGAAAGGGCCTTTAGTCTCTTTTTGTCCCCAAAGAGATGATTTGGCACTGGTGCACTGGGAGGACTGGTTTCAGAATACATCTGCACAACTCTCTTCAGCTGGAAAAACTCGAAAAATGCTCCAGGTCTCAGGCCAGACTGCTTGTACTTCATAAGCCATTCTGTAGGCTCCTCTCACAGAATGGCAGGGAAAGCCCTGCAGCTGGGAATCAATCAGCTTTGTATCAGGATTCACTGGACTG